GACCATAACTAGCCCAGGGAACCATACGATGGGAAAGAATAGGAACAGAGTGCGATGCCAAGATCAGGGAGGTCTGATCTTGAAACAGTAATGTTCAGAAAATTCTATTTTCTGCTACCTTGCTTCTGAGACGCGTGAAAACTCATTAGCTTTGCTTTTAACGACCTTCGCTCCCTGCAAAACATCTCAGAGTAACCTGAGATCAATCACCATCAAGCAGATATTTGGCTAGCAGGTAGGCGATCCTTACTAGAACAGACCACCTTCGACTCATTGATCATGACAATGGAAGGGTACCAGAAGGAAAGTCCAACAAGGTTCCCAAATGAGCAGTTGGCAAGAAAGCGAAAAAAGAAAAGAAGAAAGAAAAGGAAGTGAAAACGAGATTAACATTGGACTTTACTTATCTGGCTGGCTTAAATGAGGATAATCCAGCTTTACTGATACAACACCAAGTTCGAACTCAAACCCTTCACGAGACTGTCTTCCCCCTTTTTCTCCTTCTTTCACCAGGGAAGTCGAACTACTCCCCTGAGAGCATTTCCCTGGCCAGGACCCAGGATCTTAGCCTGTCTCACCCAATGGTCGTAAACACCTCGAATTTGATACAAGCAGCGATCATGCGTGGTTCGGAGTACTTTGCCAAGGCACCCCACCCAACTTATCCTAGTTCGTCTTTCTTACCCAATATCAGCATAGCCGCTAAGCGTAAACGGCTGAGTCCCGTCACAAAGTTTACGCAACAACTGTGATCAACCTCTATCATGTCATGGGCGTATGGAACAAAAAAAAAAAAATCAGACAACCGCACACGCGACGTGACTCGGTGACAGCGAAGGATAACTGTTTAGCAAATGGAAATTCAAATGAAGAGAAAACGACCCCAAAGCAACCTGTCCTTTGATTACATGACAGGGGTGGACTGCCATGTAACCGGCCTCTCTTGACGACCCCGCTCGTTAGGTGTGTATCACTCTTTGATCTTGCGTGCAACCATCCCCCTTCTAGTTTAGGCGCCAAAACTGGTTCGTTATTACGTTGATCGCGTACTATCCGTTCAGAGCATGAGGCGATGAATCCGACTTCTCTCTCATATCCTGCAGGTGTCTCACATATCACCCAGACTGACTTGCTTTGTGCACGTCTTTCAACAGATTTCCGCCTCACGTATCAGATCTTGGCAGAGGCACGTCATGCACAGTAATTGCGCGCTCTAAACTTGAAACTGCCTTTGCGTATCAGCACCGTCAATGTCAGCAGTAATTAACAAACACGTCCTCTGTTTACCCTCTCAGGCACATCCCGCGCCAAAAGGAAACCGGTTGACATCAGCATACCAAGTACACACACTGCACTTGCCTCTCTCAGTCTAGTCTCTTCTCATGTAAGTCGTTCGTCACACCCCTGCTAAGCGCCGACCTAGTATCATTCGCCCTTTTCCACTTCTCCGATCATGATTGACTCTCTTCTTTACACTAAGTCTCATGCATACCTCTTCGTGTCTCCCTCGTGCCCTTCAGCCCACGTAGGGACCAGCACTACCTCTCACTAGTCACCCCTGAGCCAGCTAATGGCTGCAGTCCACGCACAAAAATTAAGAGTTGTTGATTTGTCCGAGACGAGGAAGGAGTAGTACTCGACACGTGGCAAGAGGACCAAGTCACAAACCCCATGGCACCTCGCAGATTATTCTTCCCCCCTTTAAGGCCATTGATCTCCCATTCTAACAGGACCTCATCCACCTCCTCTTTTACTACTGCTGTTGCGAGAACGTCGCGCGAGCGTGGGGAACAGCGGTTGACGTCAGTCGCGCAAGCTCGCGTCTGGTTCGTTCGCCCAGTCTCCCCTTTCGTTGACCTCCCCTCGCTCTCCCCTTGCTACACGTGTCGCGCGTGTCCTCCCCCTTGTCTGTTCTTCTTACGCACCTTTTTTTGTCCCGCAGCCTTTGGGCGTCCGTTGTCGAGAGCTGGCCTCGGGTCCCTCTTCCATCGGCTTCGCAGCTCGGTGGTACCTCTGGATCTCGCCTGGTCTATTCCAGGACCTGAGGTCCGTTTCCCGATCTCCAGCTTCGCTCATCTCGCTCTCACCACCAGAGTCCCTGTCCAGGTGGGCTTGTTCCAGGTCCGCTGTGTCCACTGAGGTCTCGGTCTCATGATACGAGACCGTTACCTGCATTTTCGTTGTTACGCTGTCCCTCCTGCAGCGCCTCTCCGCATGGTCTTTCGTCTCCGTGATCGCGTCCTGTAGCTTCCCATCAGTCCGCATCTCCACCTCTTTTCCTCCCTCCACGTTGATTCTCAGTCTTAGCTCGTCTCCCCCGTCGTAGTTGAGTATCGCTGTGATCTAGGGCCCCTCCCCGGACATGGGCTTCCACCGAATCTGGTGGTACCAGTAGCAAGGCCTATACCCATGCAACGCCATAGCCACTCAGAGATAGCCACGGACCCACCCCTGGGTGCACGCACTCAGATGGCCCAGGCTACCCCTCACAACTCCACGCTCAGGCCCTCAGACCAGCAACACTAACGTGGCGGGATAGTTCACAGGCACCCTGCTCACCCCCTGGCAGTAAGCCTCTGCTGTCTTTTATAGACCTGCCTCATACCGAGTTACCTGCGTTCTAAGCGGGGGGGGCTCGTAGTACCGTTTTGAGAATAATGGAATAATTAAAATTGAAATTCTATACGAAAGGAAACCCAGGCAAAAGACAGCACTTACGATAGCAGAACAACCCTCCTATTATTGGTCCCTGTCACTTCTTCTCACTGCTAGGCGATTACGATTTCAAGGCGGTGGTCCMATAACGGAACWCCGACRATCACATTCCCCTTTTCAAAACATAGCGCCGACCTATTCCTGACAGGTACCCGTGTCCGATGGCAAGGAGGGGGCTTATGACCCTTCATGAGGGGGGTGATAAGCCTCCTACCGATGCGGCCGCGGGTCGCCCCTCTTTTGGGGTCCTACAGCGCGGCGCTCATTCGGAGCTCGTTCAAAGACGAGATGCCTGGAATCGACCAACTTAGGCCGTGGACCACAGAGCTTGAAATTCGAATCGTTGGCTTTCCCGCGAAATGACCGAAAATGAAAAGGGAAAGCCGCACCTGAAAGACCAGCAATGTCATAATAATAACAATAATAATACTACTATCTGCAGAAAGAAAAAGGATGGTGCTTCAGATTTCCTCCGCGCCACAGCTCCGCCTGAATAGCAGTACGAGTCCACACACGAATCTAAAACCCAACTTTCGCCCTCATCCCTTTTCTTTTCTTTTTCACACACCCACCTTTCCAGACCCCATTGTATCTGTCCTCTAACGCAGCTACAAGGGTCCTACCGCGCGGAGCTTAGATGCGCAGACCCGATATAGGTGATATACGAAGGGTTGGGCCTTCCTAAGCAACAATACCACCGCCCGAACTCGAAACCCGAACCGTTGGCCTCTCTACGAAGTGACAGGACCCAAGAAAAGGGAAATCCTCGCTCGAAACCCAGAACTCGAACAATAATAATAATAAAAGAAAAAAAGGAAAACCCAGTCGATGCAACGAGCAACCGTCGCTGGATTATTCCAGATTAAAGCAATGGTCTTGATCCTCGTGCTGATCAGGCGTTCTGCCTTCTTTTCTTTCGTTTTTATTTTCTTATTCTCCCCCTACCCCTCTGCTCAGTTTTTCCCTTCCGACAGCAACCTGTTTTCGTGCACCTAACCCATAACTCTGTACAGGGGCGCGTGGCGCGCAGTTGAAAAGACTGAGCCAGTCTTTTCACCTCCGCGTCCCAGGGCGAACCCGGCGGCTACCACGGCCACAAGCCGGTTGTGCTCTGCTGTACAGCAGGGCGTCGAGCCTGCGTGGACCAATGGGAAGCCCTATGGCACACCCTTTTTGCTAAGGGCACGCACTGACAGGACCGGTCCACATCAGGGTACAGCTCAGGCTCTAAGGATCGTGGAGATGACTACTGGCTGCAATACCAGAGCAAGAGACCGGTACCAGGCAGGGACTTGGTACACAGAGGAGGGCCGGGACACCGCGCCCTCCGACACCGGGGCCCGGTGCCTATTTCTGCGGTAGTAGCAAATATCCCACCGTGGGCTTTCCTATGCACTCAACCATTGCAGCCCACAAAGCTTTTCAATTCCCTTTCACCTTAGGCTATCAACGCTCTCCGAATGGGAAGTGAGGGACGCCTCGACCACGGACCCCACCACGCTTTCACGCTCGCCGGCCCTTTTGGCCCAAGTTTCAATGCAGGCAGTAGAGGGGTTCTACATGCACCCCAAACACTCATAGGTCTAGGTGACCCCTAGGAACCGATGTCGGGCCCCGCTAGAAAAATAACGATAAAGATAAAAACAAAATTTATTAGTCACAAAAATTAAAAGACAATACCGCGCGACGAGGGGACGAGAAAAGTCTTTGGGGGATAGCCTCGTCGAGCCCTCTCCCTTTTGTTCCCTCACGCCGCCGCTCGCCGACTTCGACCCCTAAATCCTTCAGATGAAAGTCGGATACCATAACCAATAGTGCTTGACCCAAGGGTAGTTCTAGCCTAGGCAGTAGCTTATGTAAGCGGATACCCCGTGGCGTGCCAGTCTATTGGAACGTCCCAGAGCCATGTCTCGGTCCTCTAACTAATCTCACGCCGACTGAACCTTCCGCGTCTACCACGCGGCTATACAGATCCATGACTTCTTCGTCGTCGTCCTTCGCACGTACGCACAAGTCACAGGTAAGCATATCAATCAACGCGTCACAACCTCTCTAATCCTAGTTTAATCAAAAATAAAAAATATGGTCAGCGATCACGCCGGTTCTTTTAATCATCAACAAATAAAATAACGTGCGCCTCAAACCTGCGCGCCAACACATAATCTATTCTAGTCAACCATCCAATCAACGCAACCCATAGACACAGCCCGCACTTTCGCGCGGAATACTTTAATCCAAACCTATTTCCTATCACTTACAAAAAACAGGGCGGATACCCTTGTAAGGGTATTCGCACCAACACCGCGCCTTCTTCACCCCTTACCGTTTCCCCTCCCGCTCCCTCTCCCACTCCTCCTGCTCCTTCTCCAGCTCCTCCCACTCCACCTCCCGCTCATCCTCTGCCAAACAACGTGACAAAGATCCCGCCATAGCCCCGGTCCCCCTCCCTCTCCTCCTCCCTCTCCTCTTCTCTCTCCTCCTCCCTCTCCTTCTCCTGCTCCCCGTCTTGTTGCTCCTCCCGCTCCTCCTGTTGCTCCTCCCGCTGCTTCTCTTGCTCTTCCCCCTGTTCCTCCTCCCTCTCCTCCCACTCCTCTTCCTGCGCCATAGCTCGCTCCTGCTCCTTCCCCACTCCTTCTCCCTTCTCGCACTTCTTCTTCTCTTTCTCCCACTCCTTGCACTCCTCCTCCTCCTCCTCCCCCCCTTCCCGCTCCTCCGCCAAACAATGTGACAAAGATCCCACCATAACCCCGCTCCCGCTCCTCCCGTGCCTCCTCCCTCTCCTCCTCCCTCTCCTTCTCCCGCTCCTCTTCCTGTTGCTGCTCCTCCTCCCGCCGCTTCTCTTGCTCTTTCCCACGTTCCTCCTCTCGCTCCTCCTTGCGCTCGTCCCGCTTCTCCTCCACCTATATCTCCTCCCGCTCCTCCGCCTCCCGCCAGTTCGTCAACCCCCTCCGCGTTTTCCCTCCCACTCCTCCCGTGCCTCCTCCATCCCTTCCCGTTTCTCCTCGTGCTCCTCCCGCTCCTAACCCCCTCCCCGTTTCCTCTGCCGCTCCTCCTCCCGCTCTTTCTCCCAGTCCTCTCCCGGCTCCTTTGCCCCTTCCCGTTTCCTCTCCCGCTCCTCCCGCTCCTCCCGCTCCTCCCGCTCCTCCTCCCACTGCTCCTTTTCCCGCTCCTTTTCCCACCCCTCCTCCCGCTCCTTCTCCCAATCCTCCCTGCGTCTCCCGCTGCTCCTACAATCAGACTCGCTTTCTTATCCACTTCGCATACATACAAACAAATGGCGATTCGCACTAGCGCAGTGCGCCCACTCAAAGCTCATAGATATGGAAACAAGAACACAGCTTAGATGCGAAGTCACTTCAACAAGCTATGGCGCTTCAGCGCCTGCACACACCACTCACGTCACCGTGTCCGACACCACCATTTGCACATACTCAACTTTGGATCACCCTGAATAATCCACACGCTTCCCTCTCTTACACACACTAAAGCCTATCTTCCTCCTACAGTGGCTATGGCCGCTATACTACTACTTACTATGGCTACGTTGTCTCTCTTGGGCGCAGCCTCTTGATTTGTACTTCGTGAGTCGTTGGTCTGCCCCGTTTTCCACTGGGCCCATGGTGCACACAGTCCCTTATGGTACTTGCTGACTGTACGAAGTGACACTGGGACTGGGTACCGTTGACTCGTCGAAGTTGGACCCCACCACTTGCCCACTTGCCTTTGCCTAAACGTGAGACACTTTCGGAAGGCCACTTCCGGACCTTCCGAAAGTCTGTGGACTTGGCCTTTCGAGTTCTGTAGCAGCTACGACCTTGACCTTTCAGGATTGTAGCAGCTACGACCTTGACCTCTCAGAACACCTACAACTACGACCTCTACAGAGTTGTGACCCCTACTCGACAGACCTACAGATCGAACGCCTACAACTACACAGACCTACGACAGACAACAACCAACTACCACAACACAGGTCGAGGGTTCAAACACTCAGGGGTCGACTTGATACTGTACATGGGTAAGGTTTGGGAATCGAACTCTAGGGCCCGCATCTGTGATTGCAGAAAGGTGAAAACCGTTTCACTCCTGCCGGCCTAAATTCGAGGTCCTCCGAGAATACTGCAGTCTAAGGCAGGACCTTTACCCTTCTTATCTCTTTTGTAGGCTCGGACTATATCGGAAGTTGTCTCTAAAAGTTCTGTTTGCGTGAACCAGCGGCCGTCTTTTGGCTCTTCAAAGGAGAATCTAACTTTGTAATGTTTCTGTGGATGACCTCTACCCCCAGTTCTGAAGACATCTTCACCTCCAATGTCGTCAATGTCGTACCGTCCGTCCATGTACGGAGGAATCATGGGCCTCCGTGGTGGAAACTGTTGACTTGTGATACGAGGTAGCAACTTTGACACATGAAACACTGGGTAGGTGCGGAGGTGTGCTGGAATCTCAATAGTATAGGACGGTCCATCCTCTCCGCCCTTGACTTCCAAGACTGGCCACAGTCCTCGATACGCAAGCAGTAACTTCTGTGAGATGTTCTCCTCAGGGGCGAACTCTTTTGACTTGACCCAGACTCTAAGTCGCCTACTTGAAACTGTGAGGGGTGACGGTACTTGTTAACTTGCTCTATCATTCTGTGTTGGGCTTTCCTGAGGTTATCTACAACGGTAGCCATCTCTTTCTCATGCTGTATCGCAAACTCTCGTGTACCGGGCTGTAACCTTTGAACCTGATCCCGATTAAGTCCCTCAAATGGTCTGCGTGGTCTAAAGGACTTATGAAGTTCGTTGGGAGTGCGACATGTGGCTAAGTGCACACTGTTATTGTACACACTGGCTACCTTTGGAAGCATCTCATCCCAATTGATCTGGTCGGGCCTAATGTACATTCTCAGAACTTGTTGCAAGAGCTTATTCATCTGTTCAGTCTGACCGTTAGTCTCTGGATGACGGTTAGATGACATCAACAACTTTGAAACATAAACTTTCATTAGTTCCTGCCAGTTCTGACTGGTGAACCTGGTGTCCCTGTCACTAACTATCGACAACGTTATACCATGCTCATTGACCCAATGGTCAAAGAACTTTCGAACTACTAAATCTGTTCGTGCCTCTGCAGGCAAGGGGATAAAAGTTGCATACTTGCTAAATCTATCAACTATGACCATGACTTGACTTTTGCCATGCCTACTCTTGACCCCAACATCCATAAAGTCAATGGACACAGAATCTCTGGGTTTGTCAGGAATAGGCAACGGTTTGAGAAGACCAAGAGGGGCTTGCGTAGTAGTCTTAGTTCTCTGACACACTTTACAACTGCGTACATACTCTATGCAGTCGGTCTTCATTCCGGGCGAGATATACGCGCGCATGAGATTGGCGGTTTTTTTTTCCAACCAAAGTGTCCCTCTGTGTCGTGGCATTCACCTAAGATAAAACGGATCTCCTCACTGCTGGGAACGCACAGACGGTCAACTACATTAGTCTTCTCGAATAGTAATCCATCAGTAGTGCGGTAGTCCGGTTCGGACTGTGGGGCCTCCCTAACTCTCTTGAGGAGGTCACTATAGATAGGCTCCTGCGCGTATGCTTCTCTAACTTTTTGCTGCAAGTCTCTCCCTATGTCCAGATAGTGAAGTATCACTCCAAAGTAATCAGCGTTCCTACTTAAAGCGTCCGCAACTACATTATACTTCCCTTTTACTGGCTTAAGTTCAAAGTCATACTGATCTAGCTCTGCGGCCCACCTAGTAAGCTTAGGTGTCATCTTGGCCTGTGTCTTTAACCACCTTAGAGTCTCGTGGTCTGAATAGACTGTGAAGTGCCTCCCAAGCAAGTAATGCTTCCAGCGCTCTCTGAAGGCATCCTGGCAGACATGAACTCTACGGGCTTATAGCCATTGCCATCGTCTTGCTGTAGGACAACACCTATGCCATATTGACTCGCGTCGGTGGTAAAGGCAGGGACGGATCGACTACCTTAAGGACTAGATACTCTATGAAAGCCCGCTTTAACCTCTTCAGGGCTGATCACTGTCTTTTTCCCATTTCCAGATTGCTTCTTTCTTTAGCAACCTACGAAGGGATGCAACGATGGTAGAGAAGTTCCTGGCGAACTTCCTATAATAGTTAGCTAGGCCTAAGAACGACCGCAACTCTGTCAGTGTGCGGGGCGTTGGCCAATCTCTAATTGCTGCTATTTTATTATCTTCAGGTTTTATGCCGTTTTTGTCTAAGACGTGGCCCAAGTACAAAACTTGTGTCTTGGCCCATTCGCACTTCTTTCCGTTGATCTTGAAGTTAGCTTCTCTTAGTTTCTCCAAGACCTGCCTCAGATGCCCCTCATGCTCCTGGAGGGTTTTGCTAAAACTAGAATGTCATCTAAATACACTACCACGAATCTATCTAACTACGGCCTAAACAAATCATTCATAAAGCGCTGGAATGTGGCTGGTGCGTTGGTTAGTCCAAAGGGCATGACTATAAACTCGTAGTGCCCATATCTCGTCCGGAACGCCGTCTTATACCGGTCATCAGGGTGAACCTCTATCTGATGATAAGTAGATTTTAAATCTATCTTTGAAAAATACTTGCAACTTTCCACCCGATCCAACAGATTATCTATACGGGGCAGCGGTTCTGCATTCTTTACTGTGACGGCGTTAAGACCTATATAGTCTATGCACATCCCGAGCTCTCCCCCCTTCTTGGGGACAAAAAGAACAGGTGCTCCGAATGGAGATGAACTGGGCCTAATCCAACCCTTTTCGGGAGCTCGTCCAACTGCTTACACAACTCCTATAACTCCCTTGGGGACATTCTGTAGACGGCTCCCTTAGTAATCCTACTGCCAGGCTCTATTTCTATGCGATGCTGGATTGGCTGCGACACCACTCCTGTAAGCGGCTTAGCTAGATCTGTATATTCTTCCAGCAGCTTGGCAATAGCAGGGTCTATGGGTCTCTCTTCTGTAGGCTCAGTGACAGGCCTAACATAGGCTACAAAAACCTGCTCTTCTAACTGCTCCTTTTTCACTAAGCGCACGAATGCGGGAGCATTGAGACAGCAATGTCCTAGAGAGTTGTCTACTCCTGACACATGAAACAGGCGAGCAGTCTTAGCTCACCTGTGGGACTGGAGCCTACACTCGTGCTCTCTCAAATGGAGTGTGGCCCCGACTGCCTCTCACGGTCCATTCCTAGGACCATATAGAAAGGAAGGTTGTCCTCTACGAGGAGAGTCAGGGAATGGAAAACTTTCTCTGCCTTCCCATCTTTCTCTAGGCGAAAGTACGCCTGGACTCCCTCAATGTAATCATCGACTCGCATAGTGTGATTGTTTGCGAGGATACTAACTATAGGGGCTTCTAACGTTTGCACTTTCAAATCCAGCTTTAACTTCTGCAACGCTTTCCTACTGATATAACTGCGAGTGGCCCCACTGTCTATAAGGGCCCCTACTCATTTTTTAAAAATCTCTACATCTACTAAGACTAGTTCTTTCGCATCCTTCTTCATCTTGGCCCAGGCGGGCTTCCTCTCCTTCAACTCTTCTGCCACGCCTGTGACGGAAGTACCTAGAGAGACTCTAACACAAGAAGTCTCTGGACAACCATCTAGGTACCAGCCAGCAACCTCTGTCGTAGGCTCATGTGGTTTGGGAGTTCCTCTGTGGTGCGTGCACTCTTCTCCATACGGCCTAGGGGTAAGGGCAGTTGCGACCCCTACCGACGGTTGCCTTTTGCTGCTTGTGGAACATAGCGGGTTTCTCTATACTTTGGACAAGATTTAATTATGTGGCCAGGATCACCGCAATAAATGCGCTGATCTTGATCCACACGTCGCTGCCACACTGATTGGTCCAAGCCAAAATCTTCCCATGGCTTGCCTTGCGGCAAGCTTGGGTGCCATCCACCCTTTATTGGAGGTGACCGATAAGGTCGCGGACGATTTGGCGGGGGACCTTGACCCCTACCTCCCTCTTGGCGGTTTCCTCTGCGGCCAACCCCCTGAGCGCCCTGTCCTTGGCCACTTGAGGCCCGGACCCCTTGGCCCTGGCCTCCTCCTCTTCCTTGCGGCCTCCTTCAAGCCGCGACAGCAGCATAGGTCCTCCACTGACCCCCACTACTGTCCTCTTCCTCTAGGCCCCACTCTATCTGACTATATGGAACCTCGTCCATACCACCTTCGTCTAAAGTGAGGATTAGATGATCCTTGGCCCTAACCTGACCAGAGATAGTACGACCCTTCCACTTCTTGCCCTTGTCGAAGTCCTTATGCCAAAAAGTGGAAACTGGCATGGACTATGCCTCAAACAGCACCACCTCTCTACTCAACGTATCATAAGTCATGGTGGGTTGTCTACTCTTTTCGAAGAACTGCCCACGCAGGGGCTCTGGCATGGCACGATAAAATAAGTTGACCAACTGGGTCTCAGTGACCCCGTGGTCTGGGACGGCTACGAGCTCGTTCATAACGCCCTTGAGTGCTCTAGTACTCCTCCACTGGCGTGAGTGGATGGTTTGCACTTTGTCTGAGGCCCTTACGCCTCGACTGACATCTGCAAATCGTTCTCTGAGCATTCTAAAGAATTCAGGGAGAGCGGTAATCTTAGAATAAGGTACCATATTGTTTCGCACTGTGTAGCGTGAGCGAGCGATCTGGCGAAGCTGGCCGCTTCGTCTTTGAGGGCTTGAAAGGCGATGAGGACTTGTTCCTCAGCTACGGTCTTTTGCAGATAGAGGTATGCGTTCACATTCACCTCCCAGTTATCGAAATTTTCTTCCTTCTTCCCATTATAGGGTTCAGGAAACTTGATCTTCACGGGCTCTCTACGAGGGCGGACTTCTTCCTCCTTTGGGACGACCAGCTTTGCGCCCTCAATGGCGCTTGTGCAGAACTTCTTTGTGCCCTCTATTCTTGCTTGCATTTTTGCACCTACGTGCAGCACCATCTCACGTGCAAAGTCCCGGAAACCCAGACGAATGAAGTGCAAGGCAATGTCCTGGGTCTAGCAAATTGATGTTGCTTGTCCCAGGCTTTAGCTAGAAGTTCTATATATCGTGTTATAATGTCAAATTTATCCTGTATGTTGACCTGTGCTTGGATCTGCTCCCTCTGCTCCTTGATCGCTTCCAACTCCTTCGCCATCTTGTTTGCCTCATCCATCCTCCTCTTCTTCGCCCTGGTGAGACGCAACTTCCGCTGTAATGTTTTCTCCTCCTCTATTGTTTGACCTCTCAATGAATCCTCTTCCGCCTCCAATTCCTTCACTATTGCTTCCTACTCCTCCCGGGGAACAGACAACATGGCTTCTTCTTCTTCCCCCAGGGATAAGTTCGCCACCGACTCAGAAACCTTCTTCTCTAACCACGAGTCCTCCCTGTTCGTGCCACTGGATTCCCCTTTGTCCCTGGTGCTCCTTCTGACCAGGGGCTCCTCCTCATTTTCCTCTTCTATCTCCTCCTTTTCCTCTTCTATCTCCGCCTCCTTTCCCTCTTCTATCTCCTCCTCTTCTACTGCCTTCATTTTCTCTTCCTCCTCCTGCTTCAATCTTTCCATTTCCTCCTCCAACTTCTTCGCCGCCGCCTTCTCCTGTAGGGCCAACTTTTTGGCCCGTCTTATCAACTCCTTCTTGGCATCCTTCTCCTTTCTCTCTCTAAGTACAGCGGCTGCTTGCTCTTCCTGAGCCTTGGTGTAAGGGGTGGTACTCTTGCCACTATGTAGGTCAACCATGGTGAAAGGTGCACAACCAAGAATCAGTTCCACTCCTCACCACTTAGACTCTCGCCACCTACTGACTTAACTTAAGATTGACTCAACTAAGGACCACAGAATCTTGGTAAGATCTTGTCAACTAGGGTCTCTAGCCTAGACCTAAAACTAAGGCTGTCACTAGAAAACTTGCTGCTGATCAGGAGGCATTTAAGGAGATCCCCCGTAACTCCTCAGGAATTATTTAATGTCGCAAACAGGACGATGTGATCAGCAAGTCCTCTCAAGACTTAGACAGCTCGTTGTGCAGCCCACAACTCGGATTTTGGGCCTACCGTGCCACATTGAGCAGCCCGCCGGTCTGTACCGGTCCTTGGGAGGGTTCGTGTCCTTCGGGTCAGTCAAGTCCTCAGACACAACCTTTAGCCCTACTCAGCCTGTGTGGGTTTGGTCAACAAAGCTCTATGACCGCATACACAGAGTTCCTATCACCTGGAGAGAAGACACTCAATGCAGAAAGAAGAGACATATAGACTCAACGAATTAGAATTGAAAGTAAACGCAAAGTGAGTGGCTTGCCACTATCATTCTTTCTTTCTTTCTTTCCGTCTCAAAGTACCATAGGGCGAGGGGATATGCTGAGGGCTTGGCGAGAATATACCAACTCCAGTTTGGTAAATTTCATGGTCAACAACCTCGGTCAACGCTGCTCAACACTTGGTCAAATCGTCGGTCAACGCCTTGGTCAATGCCAGCCAATTCTCTGGTCAACTCCCCGGTCAAAGTTTTGGTCAACGTTGGTCAACGCCTTGGTCAACCCTCTATTCGGCTGTGGTTGCTGACCCCTTTCTTCCTCACCAACCTTCTTTATCCTCCTCCTTCCTTCCTCCTTTTTCCTTTTTCTCGCTTTATCCCGGCTATGGCTTCCTTCACTTTCGTCGTTCCTCTTTCCCTCTCCCTAGCCATGTCTTCTTCTCCTTCGTCTCTCCTCCCTTCTCCTTCACTTTACCTTTCTCTTTCTTGGTAGCTTTGTGTCCGAGCTCCGCGGCTATGGCCGCTTCTCCCTTGGTCCGCACAACAATCTTGTATCGCTCCTCTCTCTCTCTCTCTCTCTCTCTCTCTCTCTCTCTCTCTCTCTCTCTCTCTCTCTCTC